TCTGATGCTGCTTGGCCTGCTGTGTTCATCCAGCTCTACACCTTGTTGTCTCTGTATATAGCATCACAGTAGCTCAACTATATAGGAGAGGAAGAAGAGCAGCAGTAAAATGGGACTTGGTTAGTTTAACAGACAGCTGTTTGTGGCTGTAGACATGACTCTAATATTGTATTTTTTTTCCCTGATGTTGGGTTCAAGGGTGGCATGGAGCAACTAAAGACATTCTTTTGCAATAAGGCAAACATTCAGAGCTCGTGACTCACATCAGTACGAATAACAGGTGAAGAAAATGGGATGTGGTCTTGAAAGCAGATTTCAGCAAACTGGGAAGGGTACCCAAAAGATAACCTCTATAGTAGGAATCACAGGATTACTTCCAGTCCCACATGCTAGTGAGCAGAGAAGCATATAAATTGAGTGATGGAACGTAAGGCTGCAGGACCGGTACAGGAGGGAGAGCATCAGATTCTTGAGGTTTTGAGACAAATTCTGGGCATCTGAGATCTGTGAAAGATGTATGGCTCATATATTAGTGGACCCAGAACTAAAAACCCCTCAGGGAGATTTGTTACTGCTGATGTGGAGTGTTTAAATTAAAATAGCAGGGGGATTGAAACCTGAGCAGGAGCTCAGAATCAAAAGCAACAAAACTGGTAAAAGGAAGTAGAAAAGCAGAAGGCAACAATACAAGATAGATAAAAGTATAGGCAAGGGTCTAGAATCATTGGAATGTTAAAACAGCAGAATTAAAGACTCTTTTTTACAAGTATTAGCATGCACAAAAAGGTTGATTATTTGAATGCCCAAATTAAGGTGATGGGTATGATTTAATTGCCACTGTTGGAGACATGGTTACATGGTAACCAAGATTTGGAACTGGGTATCCAAGAAAATTTCAGAAGGATAGGCAAAAAGGAAAAGGCGACATGGTATCACTCTCAGTAAGGGAGAGGATCAGTACATGAGTTAAGAGATGATCTCAAGTTGAAGGATCAGGCTGTACAATCAGTCTAATGAAGCTAAAAGACAGCAAGGGACAGCAAACATTGCTGAGAGTTGATTGTCAGCCATAAAACTTGTGTGATATTGTTTGACATGATATGAATCATGTAAGATGGGTATGACTTCAACCCACGCAGCAAATGGATCAATTTAGAACTCAGCAAAAGAGAAACTGATAGAAAGAGAATATGAGTGCAAGTTGGCAAGGAGCATTAAGGAAAGACAACAACATCTTCTTTTGCTATGTAGAAAGGAAAAGATTTAATCGGAGTAATCTGGACTCCTTGCAGATGAGGTCATGATAAGGTGTAACCAGTGGATGTGGTGCATTTGGGTTTTCCCACATAGGAGGTTAGTTAACAAAATGCGACTGCATCAGATTGTGATTAGTATGACTTCAGGACTGGTTGATAGGCAGAAAGCAGAGTATGAATGAATGGGTTGGCAGGCAGGGACGAGTATGGTACCTCAGGGATCGGTGCTTGGGCCTCAGCTGTTTACAATCTGTATCAATTATTTAGTAATGGAGTCCATTTGTAGTATTTCCGTGTTTGCAGATGATACAAAACTTGATAGGAATATGAGTTATGAGCAACATGAAAAAAGGTTTCAAGGTGACTTGAGCTGAGTGAGTGTGCAAGGGCACAGCGATATGAGGTAATGCATCTCAGTAGGAGGAATAAAGTGCAGTGTATAGGTGGATGGACAGGTAGTGTTGAGGAAGCAGGGAGGCTGCAGAGGGACTTGAATGGGTTAGGAGAGAGAAAGCAAAGAACTGACCGATGGAATACAATGTGGGAATGTGTGAGGTTATGCACTTTGGTTGGAGGAATAGAGGCAAAGACTATTTTCTAAATGGGGAAAGAGTTTGGAAATTTGAAGCACAAAGGGGCTGGAGAGTCGTTGTTCAGGATTGTCTTAAGGTTAACATGCAAGTTCACTTGGCAGTTAGGAAGGCAAATGCAATATTGACATTAATTTCAAGAGATCTAGAATAAACAAGAGCAGAGAAGTACTGCTTTGACTGTATGAGTCTCTGATCAGACTGCATTTGGAATATTATGAGCAGTTTTAGGCCCGATATCTAAGGATGCACTGGTGTTGAAGAGAGTTCAGAAGAGGTTTACAAGAATGATCCCAGGAATGAAAAGCTTGTCATATGAGGAGCAGTTGAGGACTCTGTAGTTTATATTCAATGGAATTTAGGAGGATAAGGGGGACTCGATTGAAGCTTACAGAACACTGAGAGGTCTGGATAGAGTGGACTTGAAGAAAATGTTTCCAATAGTCGGAGAGACTAGGACCCAAAGGCACAGCCTCAGAGTGAAGCAACTACCTTTTGGAACTGAGATGAGGAGGAATTTCTTCAGCCAGAGGATGGTTAATCTGCAGAGGTCATTGCTATAGAAGGCTGTGGTGGCCAAGTCATGGAGTGTATTTAAAACAGAGGTAGATAGGTTCTTGATTGGTAACAGGATCAAGGTCATGGGGAGAAGGTAGGACAATGGGTTTGAGAAATATATCAGCCATGATTGAATGGTGGAGCAGACTTGAAGAGCCGAATGACCTAATTCTGCTCCTATGCATTATCGTGTTACAAAAACCGAAAGAATTGCGGATGCTGTAAATCAGAAACAAAAACAAAAATCGCTGGAAAAGCTGAGCAGTTCTGGCAGCATCTGTGGAGAGAGGTCAGAGTTAACTTTTTGGGCTGAGTGACCCTTCCTCAGAACTGAATATAGCTCAGAAAATGTCGATTTATTTGCAGAAGATAGGGTGGGCGGAGGGGGTCAGAAGTAAACGATAGGTGGGATAGAGCCCAAAGAGATAAAGGAAGAGTTAGACAGACAAAGGAGAGAATAACAATCTCACTGCTGTTAAATGGGACTGTTTAGTGTCTAACAATGGGTTGTGTAATATAACAGACTATGTGATCATAAGACAGCCACATTACACTGGCTGAGCGGAATGAGTAGCTGTTAATGGAGACTGTTAGTGACTAACAATGAGTTGTGCGTAATGTGGCTGTCTTATTATCAATGAGTTGTGCGTAATGTGGCTGTCTTATTATCACGTAGACTGCTTTTATACACAACCCATTGTTAGTCACTAACAGTCGCCTTTAACAGCTACTCACCCTCTGAGCGAGATCATTATCCACTCCTTTATCTGTCCAAGTGTTCTTTTCTCTCTTTGGGCTGTGTCTCCACCTATTGTTTACACCTTACTTTCCTCCCCCTATCCTATCACCTGCATGTAAACTGACATTTTCCTAGTTATAATCAGTTCTGAGGAAGGGTCACTCAACCTGAGAGGTTGGCTCTGATTTCTCTCCACAGGTGCTGCCAGACCTGCTGAGCTTTTCTAGCATTTTCCATTTTTGTTATGGTCTTACGGTTGTTAAGTGATGAGAGATTGGGAAGCATTGATGTCCAAAGGGACTTGCGTGTTCATAAGTCACTGAAAGCTGGGTCAGTAGGTGACTACGACAGTACTAAGACCTAGTCTCCTAGTTGGAGCGTCTGAGCCTGTGCTTGCTTGTCCAAATGTCTTTTGTTGTTTAGCTGAGAGGTTTCTGAATGTTCATAAGCCACTCTACAAGCATTAACCACATGCTTCTGGAAGATGCAGACATACCTCTGTCTTCCTTGGACTCCAGAAACTTCTCTTGTAGTAGAGTCAGGGGGCCCCATACCTCATGATTATAAATTAACTCAAAGGCTGAAGTCTAATGTTGGGTGTAATGATGTGCAGGATGAAGGAAACTTTCCAATCATGTGTGTTTACTTTTTTTATTAAGATACTATTTTAAACCAGAGCTTTATCGCTAACAGTGACTCAGTGATAGCATTCTCACAAGTCAGAAGGTGGAGTTTGAGTCCCATCCAGAGCTTCGGGTTCATATTCTGAGCTGACATGGAAGTACTACACAGTCCGAGGTGCTGTTTCTTGGAGAAATTGTTAAACTGATATTTCTGCCTTCTCAAATGGACATTAATGATTGGGTGGTTCAAATGTAAAGAGCAAGATAGTTCTCCAAATTTTCCTGGCCGATATTTGTCCCATATAAATAGAAAAAAAATCATCTGATTGTTTCCTTATTGTTATTTTTGGACCTTGCTGTGTACAAAATATCTGCTGTGCTTCCTATGTTCCAATAGTGACTCAACTCTGAAAATATGTCTTGACAGTAAAACACTAGAGAAAGTCCTGAAGACTTAATAGGTTCTATGTAAATGCAAGAATTTATTCTTATTTAAATTGGAATGCCTTCATTATAACTGTTGTAGGTATGAGTGTAAGAAGGTGTAATTAAGAGAACATAAAATGTGGTGATTAATAAGAATGGCTGCCTGCTTGCTGTTTATTAACATACAATGTTTGTTTCCCCTTATTTAACAGTGAAACCAACTGTTATAGATGTTGATATTTATGTGAACAGTATCGGGCCTGTGTCATCAATTAACATGGTAAGTAAACTTTCCAGCTAAGATATTGTCATCCCAGTTTAATTTGTTGTGTTGAACAAAACAAAATTGCTGTTTTATAGTGGTAATGGTTTGGCTTTTAAAAGTTAACAGAAACAATTTGCATATGTGTTTCAGAATAAACTGCATTTGCCATGACTGATGTGGTCAGATTGACCTATGGTCGGAGGTTGAGATGGTACAACCATCAATTGAATATTACACTCTACCGTTGGATGCTTCTCAAAAATTGAAGCTATGAGAAAAAAAAAACACAAGTTGATGAGTTGGAGATAACACAATGTGGAGGTGGAGGAACACGGCAGGCCAGGCAGCAGAGGAGCAGGAAAGCTGATGTTTCGGGTGGGGACCCTTCTTCCTGCTCCTCTGATGCTGCCCAGCCTGCTGTGTTCCTCCAGCTACACACCTTGTTATCTCTGACTCCAGCATTGGCAGTTCTTACTATCTCTGAATGAGTTGATGGTTTATTTTGTTTGTAAAAATATTGACAATTTGTTTTACCTATGAGTACCAGTGGGACCAAGGTGGATAAGTAAAGCAGGGACACAGATCATTTTTGATCTTATGGAATGGTGTAGAGGTCTTGAGGGGCTGAATGACCTTACCATTCCTTCCACGTGTTCCTTCCGTACTGGAAGCCATTTTGGAGGTGATATCAGCTCCTCACCTGAATTAACATCCGTAAAGACATGCAGGTTGAATTCAATGGTTATGGCATTGGCTCTGGTCAATGGCCAGAAGGCTAGTGGCAACACCAGCACAAGTAGTTCCAGGATCCCCAACAGAATCAAATCTCAATCAGGTATTTGGCAGCCTACACTGTTCCTGTAACTCTGGAGGCAAACATCCCACCTTGGCCAATCTGTCAGAAGGTTGGCAGCTCTTCACTCCCAGCAGCACCACCAGAGGCAGAGTAGCAGGCTGGTGACCAGGAATAGTGCCTGTTTGGTGCAATCTGGCAGGCTCAGGCTGCATCTGGTGGCCAAGGGAGCTCTTTCCTTTACCTTGCTGTTGCTGCTGGTGGGGTCCTCAATGGGGCAAAGGGGATCCAATCGTAAGGAAACAGAGCCGCCCATCCCTTCTCCACACCACACACACTTCAGCTGACCCCATAGGCAGGCCATGACTAAATGGTCTCAACTGATCTAAAGGGTGGGGAGGCTGAACTTGACCTTCCATTTCTCTGACCTAATTGGCAGTCTGGTGAAGTTGGAAAGGTAATGGACTCACCACTCTGTTCCTGTCCACCTGATTGACTTCCCCATGTCTCCTAGCCCACTTCAGTTGGGGGCCTTAAATTCTAGCCATACTCCTGAGGTCAAAGTACACATGGTAGATTAGCTCCTTCATGATACTTGGCTCAATTTATTTCTCTTGACAATGTGATAATTGTTACTGTTTAAACAAAAAGATCAATGGTGGTAAAACAAAGAGCAAAGGGCCACTCAGCTCCTGACCTCATTAAAGCCTGGGTTCAAACATGGACAAAAAACAGCTGAATTCCAGAGGGGAGTTGAGAGTGACAGCCCTTGATATCAAGCCTGCATCCAACTGAGTGTGACATCAAGAAGCCCTGGCAAGACTGGAATCAATGGGTATCAGGGGGAAAACTCTCCGGTGGTCGGAGTCATACCTGACACTTAGGAAGATGATTGTGGTTGTTGGAGGTCAGTTATCTCAGCTCCAGGACATCTCTGCAGGAGTTCCTCAGAGTAGTGTCCTCAGCTCAACCACCTTCGGCTTCTTTATCAATGACCTTCCCTCCATCATAAAAGGTCAGAAGTAGGGATGTTTGCTGATGATTGCACAATGTTCAGCACCATTCCTGACTCCTCAGGTACTGAAGCAGTCTATGTTCAAATGCAACAAGATTTGGACAATATCCAGGCTTGGGCTGACGAGTGGCATGTGACATTCATGCCACACAAATGCTCGGCTATGACCATCAACCACCATTCCTTGACATTCAATAGTGTTACCATCACTGAATACCTGACTATCAACATCCTGGATATTATCATTGACCAGAAACTCAGCTGGACTCACCACATAAACAGTGGCTATAAGAGCAGGCCAGAAGCTTGGAATACTGCGACGTGTAACTCATCTCCTGACTCCTCAAAGCCTGTCCGCCATTCCAAGGCACAAGTCAGGAGTGTAATGGGATACTCCCCACTTGCCTGGATGAATGCAGCCCCAACAACACTCCAGAAGCTTGACACCATCCAGGACAAAGCAGCCCACTTGATTGGCACTGCATCCACAAGCATTCACTCCCTCCACCACCGATGCTCAGTAGCAGCAATGTGTACTAACTACAAGACACACTGCAGAAATTTACCAAAGATCCTCAGACAGCACCTTCCAAGCCCATGACCACTTCCATCTGGAAGGATAAGGGCAGCAGACATATGGGAACACCACCACCTCCAAGTTCCCCTCCAAGCCACTCACCATTCTGACTTGGAAATATGTCGCCGTTCCTTCACTGTCGCTGGGTCAAAATCCTGGAATTCCCTTCCCAATGGCATTATGGGTCAACCCACAGCAGGAGGACTGCAGTGGTTCAAGAGGGCAGCTCACCACCACCTTCTCAAGGACAACGAGGGATGGGCAAGAAATGCTGGCCAGCCAGCGACACCCACATCCCACAAAAGAATAGAAACAAAAATGGATGTTGACATCCAATACAGAAAAGCCGGCTTTTCTTGACAGTGATTTATAAATATAATACTGAATCAGCTGTTCCAGAGAAGATGCATCATTTCAGGGCTTTTGTCTAAGCTACTGCACTGACATCAGTTAGATAGCAAAGCCAGCTTACTGTACAAAAATTGGCTGTTGTGTTTCCTACATTACATCACAGGCTGTCCAGCACTTTGAGACAAAACTGCACAATGAGCTGAATAATTGCAAGTCTTCCATTACCCTGATCCTTACCCAGATGAGACCCTTCCATTTTAACATGAGTGGCAGTGTGGCATCTGTCAGCCTGGCGTTGTAGGGTCCCGGACAGATGTGCGAGTGCATGGGTACACTGCAGACTTTGCCATTAGTTTGTTTGCAATGTGTCTCAACAGCTTCAATTCTTTTCTACCTCTTTAGTAGCAGTCCTATGTGCTGTATATTGGAGACTTTCACCTCCTGTTCGAAATGCTTTTTTAAACAATTGCTATTCAAATCTGTTCATGGACCCAGTATAACCTGAGCAATCAAAACAAAGGTTTAACTGAAACTGTTCCTTAGGTCTCATGGCTGACAATTTAATGTTATTTCAATAAAGCAATATCCTATCTGACTGATAGTATGTTATTTTACTATGTACTGCACGTGTAGACATGTAAAATGGCAAACAAAGACAGAGCCCAGATCAGAGGGTAATCACTCAGTGCATAATACATAGTAATTATTAGGGATAAAGAATAATTGTTATTTTAAAGTGAGCAGGAGGCATTAATCTAATGGAAAGTTTAAATAATGTCTTAAAACATGAGAAGAAAACTCAAATCAAGTTTAACATAAATATTAGGCTGAGAAAAATACTCAGGGATCTCTGTTATATGTATAACAGAAACGGCATCCATCAAGTTTGCAGTATCTGGTATATGTGGCTCCCACTGTCAATTCCCTATTTTTCTTCTCTCTCTCTCTACCAGAGTGCAACAGCATTCTCCGAGTAAGATCAAGTGCAAGTTTATTGAGAAATCAATTACAGTCCGTAATCTGTATTGGTGATATTTGCTAGACACTGTTAATGTTATCAGTGCAATAACGTGTATTTTAAAGGGGAATATATAATACGGTCAACATCAGCTATCCAAGACATATGCTGCAGTCATGTTTTAAACCTTGAATTCTAAATATAATCCCAGGCACTGAAAGCACAGCATGTCAGTTTGAAAGAGAGCGTTCATTCAGTGTCCATTGTGATTGTATGTATTTGGGAAAAAACCCACAAATTAGTCGCAGTTGTGTGGGAGCTTGACTATAGTCAAGTACCAATTCCTTCAAGGGTTCCACCTACTCAACCAAGCTCAAATCCGAATACGTAGATCTGTCCAGCTCCTTTGGGATTGCATTGTGATGACAGCGAAGAAAAAAAAACATCAATGTGGAAGATTCTCGGTCTTGTTTACACAAGTCTGTCAGTTATCTGCTGGAGTGTTTCAAGATTCCTGATCTTGGTGCAGTGAGGCAGGTGAAGGATTTTTCTTGAGACAGCAGGGCAGATCAGCATTCGTAACTGAAATGCAGATTCTTTGTGCCTCTCGACAAATGCACTGTGTTGTAATAAAGCATGGTTGCAACGATGCTGTCCTGCTTCTAGCATATCGAGCTCTGGAACAGAATGCAGTTACTGCCTGTAAAAATAAGAATTGAGTTCATTATCAACTGCTCTGCCAACCTTAGAACAGTTCAGCCTGTGAGCTTGAAGAGCAGATGTTGACATGCCTTTGACACTTGAGGGTTGTTTTTTTGAGGAATGCTTGCCTACAAAGTAATCACTGCAGCCAAAACAGAATTCATTATTCAAAGCATTTCAAGGCATTTTGACAACGTAATAAGGTCATTATCGACAGTAGTATTTTATCTTTTCTTGTACTCAGTTTAAAAAGTGGCTGTTGGGAAACCTGAGACACTTCAGCACATTTAAAGTACGCATTTTAGAAAATGTACAAGACGACTTTAGTAATTTGACATTTTAGGATGGAAGATACCCATTGTGAGATGTATGTCAATGCAAAATGAACTACTTTGCATGATAATGGAAGGGTTTTTTTTAATAACAGAACTTCAGATGGGTAAAAGATGCCATATTCAGAGGGCCACATGGATCAGGAGCTGGAATATTAAATGTCAATAATCACTGAAGGGTTTCTGGCTTCTATTAACATCAACAGTTTTTATTGTCCCATTGAAAAAAAGTGAAGACTTAACTTGACATCCATCTGCCAAATTTTGTCTTCCATAGGCTATCGTTT